CTCGGACCAGCCAACATTTTTCAGATAAAATCACGCACAATTCCATCTGCAGTACACGTACAGCAGCGTTGGAATGCTGGCAGAAACAGTAGAGGTTGTATCTAGATTCAGCATAAAAGAAATTCCCAGAGTCGGTTTGAAAGAAATTAGTTGCCATTCCAATGTCAAGCCTTGACACACCATGTGTGTCAAGCGGTCGTCAATTGTTAATGAAAGCTGACAGTTAAACTCATATTAATTTTGAATGTGAAAGTATGGGGTAGGGGAACGAAAGCCGCCAATTTGAGCCGCCTCCGCGGACTGCTGGTCCTGGAACGACATGCAACAACACTGCGAAAAGACCAGTTGGCCGCAAAAGGCGGCTCAAACTGGCGGCTTTCGTTCCCCTACCCGAAAGTATGTGATGTTGCGACTTCATAAGCTTTGAGAGTAGGGTTTGTGTTATCAGAATGAATTTTAACCGTACCGATCCATTGAAATAGCGCCGAGATCCAGGGTCTTGAAAAAGCAGGTGCTCAGATAACCGCCGGGGGCAGGCGGCCATGCGAATTTTGAGCAAGCGCGCACCGGAAAAATAGCTCGTTGATTTTTTGCGGCCCGCTTGCAGAAATTTGGAAGAAAGTTGGCAAAATTAAAGACGAATGCTTGAAGAACAATCACGGTTTCTTTATGGATTAGCTGCGGCGCAGTGGCCGCATTCTCGCGGACTTTCCGCGAGAATATGCAAAAATTTCGGGGGCCGCACGGTCCTTTGTGGAGGACCGCGCAGCCCCCAGGTACTTTCCGCTAGGAGAAAGTACCTCAAACTTGAGTAATTAAACCAACGGTGACACCTCTGCCACACAGAGTCTTCCCTGCGCTCGACGTACGCCCGAAAATACCTAAAAAGAGTCCGAACGCTTGCTGAAAGTTTGGCCAGCGCTCGCTGGAAGATATTATTTGACGAGCGCTCGCAGAAAATTCTGTATTGCTGCCCGCTGGCAGAGCGCGGAAGTACCGCCCGCTGAAGGTTTGGCCACGCCCCAAAATTCTGCTGACCGCCTGCAGAAAAGCGCGAGTTTGCGGACCGCCTGCCCCCGGCGATTATCTGAGTGAGAAAGCACTTTTTAAACTTCAACAGCTCATAACTTCTTCAGAACTGCGTGAATCATGTTTTGACTTCATAGGTTAGATTCTTCTCATCAAGAGCTTTCAGAAGATAAAAAAAATGTGGGGGTTTGGGGCCTCCTACGACTTATGCCCGGGAGGGGAGACTTTTCATCACAAAGTCTCCCCACAGCCCACTTTAATGTACTGGATGGAGGCCGCCAGGGGAGACTTTGCGATAAAAAGTCTCCCCCAGGGCATAATTCGTAGGAGGCCCCAAACCCCCACATATTTTATACCATCTGAAAGGTCTTGATGAGAAGAATCTAACATATGAAGTTGCAACATGATTCATGCAGTTCTGAAGAAGTTATGAGCTGTTTTTCAAAAAGCGCTTTTTCGCCTGCTTTTTCAAGACCCTGGATCTCGGCGCTATTTTAATGGATCGGTACGGCTAAGATTAATTCTGATAAGGCAAACCCTACTCTACAAAGCTTATAAAGTCACAACATCACACACTTTCACATTCAAGATTTATATGAGTTTAACTGTCAGCTGTCATCAAACACGCTAAAATGACTTGATTTTTTAGAATTTTGGTTTTTGGCGACTATCTCTCAAATCGACTCGATTCTTTCACTATCTGATAGAGCACCATTTACGCTTTAAAACCTATAAAGTCGCAATTGCTGACATCTTCAACTGCAAGATTTATGAAAGTGGAAATTTCGCATAATTTTTCGTTACTTTATTATTCAAAATTCTGGTTCTCGACGTTTATTCCCTGGATCGACCTACTTTCTTCGCAGTACGTTATGACAAAATTTACCTAATTAAATCCGAACAGTCCCGCTAACTTTTACTTCCAAATACACCATTTACTGAATACGTTTATTTTAAATATATATGCCGCCGTAACATAAAAATATGCTTTCAATAATCTTTTTTGCGTTTTGCTTATTTTCCTTCTTTATAGTCCAGCGAAAAAATATTTTATTCCAAAAGTGAAAGTGGTCACCCTGTACCAGCTCAAAAGTGAAGGTAGGGGGAGAATCGGCTCACACTATCGCATTTCTGATATTGAGTTGTCCCCCAAAGTATACTCCATTTTCAATAAATTGAGCTGTTTTTGTTTTCTCCACAGATTTAGGGTATTTCTCGATAGAGCGGAGTAGGCTCTACAAAAAACCACCAAGGATTTACCTAAGTCGTAATCCAGGCAAAATTTGGAGCCAAAAATCAAATTTTTTTCAGCTACCCCAAAAATCGGATTTCCTTCAAGAAAATTCTAACGGACTTCCAACTTGATCTATATTAGTAAGCACATACTAGTTCCCAAAAATGTATTTGGTGGATTTTTTCCGAAGCTCCAAATTGAGAAATAAAGATGGTTTGAAAATGCCAAAATGATGCTTGTTTCTCGTTTTTCATGCAAAACTTGGTATGTCTCGAACATAAGAGCTCGTACAGGATAAAATTTTGAGATTATAATAAGCAAGCCTTGAGCAAGCAAGCAAGTATACAATGACATATGTGGGAGGGGCTGGGGGCGGAGTTTGCCATTTTTGGACTATCGTTGGTTTCTCGCCTTCTATGCGCGGAAAAAATCCAGTAAAGGCATATTTGGTACTAATATGTGCCTACTGTATAATGACCAAGTTGAAGGTCCGTAGGGTGTTTCCTCGCAAAAATCCAATTTTCGGGTGACAAATTTTTTTCGATTTTGGCTTCAAACTTTATATGGTGGCTTCATGTGCGGCTTAGGCGGGCCCTTTGTGGTCTTTTCGTAGAGCTTGATCTGCTCTATCAAATGATATCCTAAATATACTAGAAAAACAAAAACAGCTTGAATTAAACAAAAAAGGAGTTTACTTTTGGGACAACCTAATAACTTTCGGAACGTACATACATACTAACAGACGGATATTCAGCTTTATATATGAGATTGGGGCACATTTACAACTCCGATTAGCCTAACGTTGGAAGGCATATTTAATAGGAACTTTTCGTTGAAGCCCTTTAAAATTAATGATCATACTTATAAATTAAATTAATTAAAATCATTGATCATTCTTTCAACGCAAGGCTATTACGCAGTCCACTTATATGCCTTTTGAGCTTGAATATCTTCATCATTTAATTGAAATATCACTTTGAGTTTTCGCAGGTTTTGTATTAGTTCACGAATACGAATACGAACCTATGAATAAATGCAAGTGATACAATTAGCTATACCATCTTTGGAGGTGTTTCGGAATCTTGTATGTTATGCTCAAATGTTTGTTCATATTCATTTGTACATATTATTGTTCAAATGAAAGTTTACTAATCAACAGAAATTAAGCAAATCAAAAGTCGTAATCCTTTTTATACAGCACGTCCTAATACAATTCACATTGTAGCTGAGTTCAACTTAGATTTACAGCATGGTTGATTGGCAATTTCTCCCCAACTGTAGGATTTAGAAACTCTGGTAAGAGTTTTGGGCTGTAGAAAATCTATTCTGCCTCAGTATGCATACTGAGGCAGAATAGCAACTGAAAACTCTCATACTAGGCTATGAAGTTTGCGTTTTGTCTTGATGTTTTTTCAACAGTTAAGCCAAATATACCGTAATAATTGTCCTCTCATGTTCCTCAAATTACGATTATGCCGTTTTAGCCTTGAAGACATCTATTAGGTTGTAAAGAAAGTTCCCGGGCACTTGCGAAATTTTTTCCCAAACTGCTATAATGTAATCGACCTAAAATCTTGCCTGTTAAAGCAGGAATTTCTCAGATACGAAGAGAGCTGGAGAGCTCATATCCGATAGTTATGTGAAACTCTGCTGGAACTATTTGTAGACTGTGTTACAATTTTAGAGCACGGCCTGTGCAGAAAATTTTCTCAGAAAAAATCAAAAAATCGGCCATTTTTGCACCTCAAAAATGCCTCAGTTTTTGGGTAAATGAGTTTGAAGTCTTCCTTTCTTCCACAGAACGAATCAAATCTTTGATTGCTGCGAATATTGTTGGGACAATGTCTTGCACATATTCTGGGCCCATCACCGAGGCGTGACGATCCTTACAAAATCGACGCCGACTGCGAAAACAGGTACGGTCAGAGGCAAGTTTGAATGCTTGTAAATTTTGTGCGCGTATTGTAAAATCGGAGCACAACTGCGGTTTTGAAGTAGACAGCCCCTTATTCAAAGAGACCAACCTTTAAATGGTTTTCTTTGCTCAGTGCCAAAAAACGGCAGCAAAAAGAAAAAATGTGAAGTTTTAATCGTTCCACAAATTTCCTTATTTGGTGTGTAGGTCAAACACGGCTTGTCATCGATAAGAACTGAATGAGAGTCCGGAAAGCTTAGGCTTTTTCCTACAGAATCATATAAAATATTCGTCGTTATGATTCGAGTGCGAAAAAAATGAGACTGAAAATGAAATTTCCAAAACTGCCCGGGAACTTCTTCACAACTCAATAAAAAGTTAATACGCAACATTAGCAATGTAGAAATCTTGGTACATAATTTTTCGGTGGGAGTTGAAACGACGTTTTTTTTCAACTGTGTTACAAAAGCGTCTACCGTAATCTTAAAGTAATAAAAAATTTACTTTTCTACAGCAAATCTAAATTGAAACTCCCCTCGCACTGTGGTGAATTAGCACGGGAGATTGATCAAGCCTTGCATACATTTTTAGGACATGTATGTACTGACATAAAATGTACTTCTCACAAGCTGTACACATTTCACAAGTGTACAGCTTCTTATACATTTGATTAGTGCTCAAAGGACTTCCAAAAAAGAAAATCATTTTAACACGAGCATCTACATAATGTGCTACAAACGTAAGGCAACGCCTTTATTTGCATTTAAACAATTAAGTTTTGTGTTCGGATTGCGTGAATGTTTTATATCTTAGCACTAAAAATTACTTTCTTTTCCTCTTCGTCGCTTTCTTTTTCGCCGACCTTTTGCCGGTCCTTCTAGGTGTAGCAAAAACTTCTGCCGAGGCACTTTTAACAACTGCATTTTTCCTCATTCTCATGTCTTTCGCATTCTCCAGCTTCATTGGGACCGGTCTCGTAAACTTAGACTTGACTGTCATTTTCATCGGCTTAGCATCGCCAAAAGTTGCCTTCGTCGTTGGTAAGGTTGAGGCCTTTACTTGAAAGGGTTCAGTACTGACGGTAGGTAAACTTATTGAAGATGCCTTCTGCAACTGTGCCTTACTGCGTCTTTTCGCTTCTTGAGACGAGGGCTCACTACCGCTTGCTTTATTCTTTTCCAGTCTAGCTGCTTTCGCCCTACTCAATTGAAGAAGTAGATGCTGAAGAGAGCCAACTCTCAAAGATCGCATTTCCTTTACTTTCACTTCTCCTGGATCTTCTAGTGTGCCATAATCAATCAGGTCTGGTTGAGTTTCTTGTAGCTTTTTCAACTTGACTTCTTCTCGCTGTCCTTCTGCTGACGTGGATTCTTTGCTCTTCTCACGACTTTTTTCAATAAAGAAATCCATGTCAACTTCTTCCATTTTCTCATAAGCGCGCTCTTTCCCGCCTTTTTCCGCTACAGAGATGAGTAAGGTTTCTAGCGAATCTTGAGTCGGAATTCCATCTCTTATCGACATTTCAAGACATGTCTGAAGAAATCTCAACGATAGAAACAAGAAGTAGATGTGTTGAGTATGCTGATTTTCGCTCTAGCGCTTGAAAATCTATCATCTCTTCAAGCCTCTAACGGAAGGTAATCATGTTGCACCGCCAAATCGAAGCGAGATTTATATCATCAGGCGCATCTTTGAACGCTAATTCCACACCCTTTTTCTGCGAAACAAACCTTTGAAAGTAGTTTTGAGCGTTTCCAAGTGGCAAATAATCAGCTAAAACTGTAAACAAGCGCCTGGATATGTGTGAGCTATCTTATCTCATGACTACAGTGAAAGGACACTGCCAGAGCCCGGCACAAACGATTTGGAGTCAAATTGAACTTCTTTTTGAGGTAAAAGCAATAGAGTTATCGCAAGATCTGCTATATGTACATATAAGTGACCTCCAAGTATGCTAACCATCAAGATGGTACATGAATGGGATGCTCTTATGGTTCTGTCTCATCAAGCGTGCCAAATTCAAAATGATGCTCAAACAAACAAATGGCTTGTTTACAGCGCTCAAGCAACCACATGACGCCGAATTTGCACTATGTGTATACAGTATTATTCCTAACTGCATTATGCAAAAGGTTCCAGTCCTAGTACCCGTTCACGAATTGGTTGGTTTCTAGACCAACACCGAACCAACTGGGTTGGTCCGGAGCATAAATAACGGAGGATTCACATGAGTTTTGGACCTTTCTAAGTTGGACGATTGAAACTTTCAAAAATCTATTTTTATAGGGTAGAAAGCGAAAATCCATTGCCTCCACTCTTTTATAAGCCCAAAATAGTATAGATAAACGCATTGATAGATATGGCGCTCCAATCGCATGACAACCAAGGCGTCCTTTGAGCTAGCGACGATTGTTTTTTGTTTTTTCCAATTCTTATTTAATTTGTTGTTTTCATTTTTAGTTTTTACGTTAGTGGGGACTTCGTAAAGATTTGCGAAGTCATGGGGACTTCGGTTTAAAAAGCCTCACCGGCGCATCCGGGCCTTGGCCACAGCCACTGAAAAATGGCATAAGTGATTGTACAGTTTCGCCAGTTTTATGTCACTTGAAGCTTGACAAATTTGGACTTTCAAGCGCTCATAACTCTTTTAGAGTTAAAGAAAAAGGAAAGCAGATTTAGACACAACGTTCAAGGACGCTTCTGGTGATACGCATACATATTTATCAATCTCCGATGTGCCACTGCGACTTGGTACCTCTTATTAGAATGGGTGATGCAGCCTCGCAGCGAATTCGATAAAATAGACGGATACACTCAACTTCTATCTGCCTATGACTCCTATTAATGCCTAAGCTGCAATACACTTTTCTGTTTCTATCTATCAGTATCTTAAAGAAAGAGTCGTTAATCTTATTCGAACTATGACAAACCTTCAAGTTCTCATTGAATGACGTTGCCAACATTGCCTGAAATAAGTGATGAATAGTACTTTAAAGTTGGATGTAAATGAGTAGTAAAATCTGACAAAACAGGGTAGCCTGATCGTGGAGGCTCTGTAAGCAGCGCATTGCTCACAAAATACGCGACCAGAACTTTTTTTCAGTTTTTACTCTGCGTTTAAAATCAGTTCTGCCACCTATGCTAGCTTTCCATCACTTAGATCAATTCTGAGAGATGCGGAATTTTGTTGATTGAGTTTGAGGCCTTACATCTGCATGAGTAATGTTCGCTGCCGGCACGACCTTCACGATCTGACAAAGCTCCTATAACATTCGCCATCGCGGATATTACCGAAGTATTGCTGAATATAAAAATCGCAAGCGGACGGATACGTTGCAATAATTTTCATCAATGGACGACTTTGTCCGATTAATCTTCTGTGATCAAACATTTTTGCGAATGCTCAGTTTCCTCGCATATACAAAATTGTACAAGCGTGTCTTCCTCACAAAATAATTCAGGCAGGGCTGCTGTAAATTTACAGCAAAACAGAAATAAAAGACGTTCTAGCTCACACCTCAGACCGGCATGACAAAACTGGGAAGATAAGGAATCGTGTAACGGGGGTGGTCGTGGTAAGTCCCGGTAGAACCTGATCGATGGAGAAACACGGGTTTGAGTACAAGAATTCATCTTTATGGCACAAACTAACAGCAACAACAACTATAACGCTATTACAATTGATTCAACTGGCTGAGCTTCGGCAAAGGCGGGCTTCGTGACCCAATTAAGGCTAGGTAATGATCAGAGAGCACTCGCGCGCGAGCGGCCTGCCCCGACGGAGCTAAACCAGTTGAATCAAAGAAACAACAATGGATCTTCAACCCGATTCGCCCTCTCAACAGGGTCCCTAGGCTATCTCTATCTAAGGGGGGAGGTCCGCCTCTCTTCGACGGCTCCTTCAAACTCCCTGGAGCGCTCTCATCACCCTCTCACTGGTCCCCCCTATCCACCGGTATTTACACCCTGCTGAGAGGTCGAATCCGCCTCTCCGTTCTGTGATTCGCGCCATCCAAAATAGCGACCAATACACTTACAACCCTAAATCGCACAGTCGGACAACTGCCCACTGCTCATAGCATACCCGTGAGCGCATTTGAACATGATGTCTTTCCACGAAAGTACGAGCGTGATTCGCATCTAAGGCCAGGGCGTCGTGGATTCAAAGACATCTGTCATCGCGACCAGAATTGCTGTAGGTAAGTCCACTTCAATTTCCGAGACTTTTTACTCGTATTTACTGATATGGCAACAAATAAAACACCTGTAAAGAGGCGATTGCAAAGGTGATCTTTCTTGCGTATGGATGCAGGGCTTGCTATTCCAAAAGAAAAAAGAGTGGTTGTGGAGCTTCTATGCATAGAACAGTGTATCACCCCTACTTCTGGAAATCTAAGGTCCATTGGGGAATCTTTAACTAGGGACCGCTCACAAAGAGCTCAGAGCTTCCAAAGCGGTTTACTTGGTAAATTGCGCTAGTGTTATCTGCCCGGTCACTGAATGCAGAGCGTAGTTCGCGTCTTTGATATGAGCATTGATAGAATCACTTAGCGTGCAGTGTTGTCTCCTCGCATAAACTTGAACTTCTTACCTCTAATACAGGATTGTACGTTTCTGGTTCATGTCTAGCCTTCCCAAGGTCGAACTGTGTTAAAGTTGGGCGCGATCGTCTTCGGCAAAACACAGTAAATTGGACGATAACAGCTACAATGGCAATCCACGCGATCATCCAAATATCATACGGAGTCCTCATAAGCGATCTGAAAACATAAAATTTGAGGTTTTCACTAAGATGATAGTGGCGAAGGTAAGCTCATGGGGGCAACAGCAATGAGCACAAATGCAGATAATGAATATGAGAACACGTAGCGCAGAAGTTGTGAAGCAGCACAAGCAATGATGTGCTTGGATGATGTTTCCATTCGAAAAAAGATGATGGTGGTGACCCGACTTAAGATGTCTTCGGTCTCACGAATTTGCATACTTACAAGGAAATGGTCAGAAGTCGAAGTGGCCAATTCATACAAGCTGCATACCATTAGATGCACCATAAAACGCTGTCTCTAAATTTGTCTTCCTTATCTGCAGAGCGCTATTGTGGACGAAATTATAAGGCGTTGGAGGCCATTACTTTGCTAAGAAATTATGCGTGTAAAGTGCAAACTTGGCCGTATAAAGCCATTCTCGGCTCAGTGTTGGACCAAAACATGCAATTAGGTCACTTCATATGACCCGTACCTAGAGGTGAGCTAAAAGAGCAATAATGTGCCTAATTTCGCAGTTTTTGTACGCGCCTTTTTTGCAGTAAAGCTGCTCATAACTTCGCCTACAAAGGCGCTCAGCAGATATGGGAGACAGATTTGAAACTAGCATTTTATACTGCATTGAATGGTATGCAGCTTGTATGGATTGGCCACTTCGACTTCTGATCATTCCCTTGTCAGCTTGGTCATGATCGGCAATGCAAATCTATATGGATGTTAGTCGACACTTACAGTGACCACCAACCTACAGACGAGTAAAGAGTGCAAATAGACAAACTTCTAACGCTTCTAGTCAACACAGTCGATGGAACGTAGTAAACATCTGCAAATGATACCTCATTGCTCACTCAACATTGACTTGTACTGTTGCTAATAAGCTACCTCTATTGCACCTGTTCAACGGTTGAACATCTCAAGGTGATAACTTTGACACAATGACGCGTAGTCGGTTTAGGATGACAACAACGTTGTTGGAAATGTCATGGTTATTTGGAACAGTCGTTATGGCAGTCGCAGTTATGAGTGTAACCATCTGCGCAAAAGCCTATGAAGAGGAGATAAAATACGAGATGATAGTGAGCAAAGGAAAACACAAAAAAAGAGTGCGCTTGAAGAAGAGGCGCTCTAAAAGGAAGATCAAAGAATATAGCAGCACTCCCACTCGCGAAGAAAGCTTCAGACTTCCCATTCGTGGCATCAGCGATTCTAGTCCAAGGGTACCCAGTTCGAAATCGTATAGTTCGGTCAGTTTTGTGCCCATGAGCCAGCGGGTGATCACGAAATTGAAGCTTAGTGCGTCATGCTAGCCAAAAAATTTTGACCTTTATGAACTACAAAAGAAAACGGATGCCTCTAAACTTACCCAATCATTACTAAGAGACGTGCTTTTAACCTACTGCCATATATTACCGCTGTTACCGCCGTTACTGCTGAACTGCTGTTGAATGATAGATAGATAACAGTACAGTCTTATTTCTCTGCACTAGTTCTCACCATCCGTTCTACACGGTGTCTCAAATAATGTGTCGAACGTTTGATTTGTGATAACTCCCCCGTAAGGCCCCGGGCACAGTTCACGCGATTTGATCGTCGCGATTCAATCGATACAAGACAAGTGTTATGAGTTCATTATACTTAGTCACAATTAGTCGTGTTGGGAAACTATCGCAAACGAGATGCAAGAAGATCAGCATGCAGTGATACTGTTGCAGTTGTCTTGTCGCGATCAATCTCGACGATCAAATCGTGAACTCTGCCCGAGGCCTAAGGAAGGTCAGAGTTTGCCAGTGTTGCCGGTGTTGAAAGTGTTGGTGAAAATCGTCAGCCTTGCAGTCCAACTTCGTCGAGCGATCTCACCGAATGAGTACGTTTGAAATGGAAAAGAGGAACGAGAAAAACTAAAATGTGATCGGGAATGCTCTCGCATGCAAAAAATCCTCATATGGACTTTTTTGAAAAGCAGAGGGCGTGTTCGAAATAGGCAATCTCCAAATTTGAGAGCGCTGCAAGATCTTTCATAGGCGGGTCTTATACTCGCTAATTGTAGAAGCACCAGATTCGACACCTAACACGCACTTTGTATGAGGATCTTTTGCACGCGAAAGCATCTCCCATTTCATTTGAACTTCATTTCTCATTTTCGATATCCAATTTAAACGTATTCACCAGCCGGTGAGATCATTCGAGAAAGAATGAAACTGCGAGGCTGATGATTTCTACGTCCAACACTTTCAACATCGGCAACACCGGCAAACTCTGACCAATCATTAATCAGAGCTTTCGACTTTTAGACACCATTTTGTAGATCTGGCGTTAACTTAGACTTACAGTGTAGGGCGAATCACCGGCCGCACTTGATTACCGTATGATTGCGGTAGGCATTCTGAAAAGAACTTTAAAGGCAGCGACTCGGCAGAATGACAACTTTGGGATATCCACCATTTTCGGTTCTCCTGGATGAGTTAAGCCCAAGACTGTGCTTTGTAGCTTCAAAAGATATCAAAACCCGCTTTTCCAGACGTGAAAAGCGCTATTTGACGGCGGACCGCGTATCCACCCTCTAGAGTGCGATTGGCTCGTGGGTACGGTGGGTACTTATACTTGGGTCCGAATCGAATAGAAATTCGATCATTCGAATAAAACATTCGAATATATTCGTATTCGAAATTCGATATTCGGAGTTCTTCCATTCTCGAATAATATTCGAAACTCGAATAATTAAGAAAACGGGGTTCCGAATAAAATTCGAAATTCGAATAATCAAAAAAGAGAGTTTCGAATAAAATTCGACAACTCGGATAGTCAAAAAACGAGGATTCGAATAAAATTCGAAAACTCGAATAATCAAAAAAAGGGGTTTCGAATAGATTTTATTCGAATGTTTTATTCGAATGTTTATTCGAATTCGTATTCGAATGAACTCCGTATTCAGATTATTCGACTTTGTTACAGAGCCAACTGCTGAGTAGCAAGCTCACTTCGTCCGCGTTATATTTGCGCAAAACTCGGTAATGCATCTTTTGCAACCGTTATGACCTTTGAACTGAATGGAGGGTTGCATTCTTCCGATTGCTTGACAGTAAAAAAGTCATATGTGGATTTTAACTGATGCTTTTTCGATCAATGAGATTGTTCGCACTGCTATTGGCACCAAATCAGCAAAGAAGCTATCAAATTCAAGCTCATGTTCCAAGTTCATATATTGAAATTGTTTTGAAATGCCCGTTCTTCTTTCTTTGCATTGCTCATGCTTGCGGCACGCAATGCCCACCCTAGTAAGCACTCTTGCTTGCACAGGTTATATTGCACAACTGCCTCTTTCGCTACCTTAGAGATTTTTTGCGAATTGGTGTATTTTGAGTAAAGGACATCGCAGATTGTAGTGGAGGATTAGACGGTTTAGATCGCCGTACGCGATTTGCCAGTTACGAGATGTCTTCGAATGTAACGCCAGCTTACCACAGATGTTTAGCGTGTACAACTTACCGAAAAGATAAATGCCCTGCATTCTGTACTTTTAAAATAAGTTTTGGACAATTTGACGATTGTCAAACCACGTCGCCACTGAAATGCCTGCAGTATGCCCGGGGCTGTAGAGGCATTCGTGCTCGCTTCGCGGAATAAACCACATGCCCTCGTCTACGACTAGCTTATATCACACAAGACGAAAGTCTCCGATGAACGGGCAATGTATCGTGGCATTTGTGGCGTTTAAGTACATAGTGGCCACCGTTACTGCTTCAAAAGATCGCACACCTAGCGCTATGAATCCGAACAACTCGTTAGGTGAACACTTATCGATTTTTAGAGAAGTTTGAGCTACGAGGTTGGGAGTTGGTACAGAGGGATAAATGAGGATGCTGATTATGGATAAAAACTTACTTATCGATTTTATCGATTTTTAAAGAAGTTTGAGCTGCGGGGCTGGGAGTTGGTACAAGGGGGTAAGTGAGGGTGCTGATTATGGATAAAAATTTACTTTATCGATTTTGTTAATTTTTGGAAAATCTTGAGCTACGAGGTTGGGAGTTGGTACAGGGGGTAAATGAGGATGCTGATTAAAACCGAAATCTATTTTATCGATTTCGGCGATTTTTGGAAAATTTTGAGCTAGGAGTTGGTATAGGGGGTACGAGGGTGCTGATTATGAATGGATTGGCTTTGGCCAGATATGTCGGCAAATTTGAGATATGGTTGCTCTGGTTATTCGATAAATCATTCGAATATTTATTCGAAATTCGACTTCCAATGTTCGAATATATTCGGTATTCATTCATTCGATATTTTTGATTTTCCGAATTTATTCGAAATTCATTCATTCGAGAATTTTTAAACCTCGAATTTATTCGATATTCGTTTATTCGAGATTTTTTATTTTCGAATTTATTCGATATTCGTTTATTCGAAATTTTTCCTTTTCGAATTTATTCGATATTCATTCATTCGATGAAAAATTTTCGAATTACCCAAGTATAGTGGGTACAGTATCTCCACTCACAGCCAATCGCGCTCTAGAGGGCAATTACGCGGTCCGCCCTCAAATGTGCTTTTCACGTCTGGAAAAGCGGGTTATTGGTATCTTTTGAAGTTGCAAAGCACAGTCCTGAGGTTAGCTCATCCAGCTCATCTTGCATCTTCCCATAACCTTATCCAAAGAGAAAATGGTCAGAACTTAACCCAGTCATATCAAACATGCTATATCATCGGACTCGTCTTAAAACGCTGATTTCAAATTTGTGTTTTTTATCTGCCAATCGACTATCTGGATGGGGTTATGAGCATTCAGATACGAGAAATTTCTCGAATTTCGAGGAATACATTTCTTGAAAGGCGGCCTAAGGCGCGTATTTACAGTGGCAATTGTTATTTTATTTACAAGAAAAAAGTCATTCACCGAGGACCTAAATGAATATTAATTACTTAGATACTTAGATGGCCCGTCTTCACGTGGCGTGCGAGCCCCAGCACAAGAGTTTCCATCGGTCCCTGTCCCTCGCTTCAGACATCCACGTTCTTCTTGTTTGACGTCGGTGGCTGCGTCCACGAGCTCCAGGTACGAAAATCGTATCCAGCTGATTTCTAAGCTGGCCCATCCGTTCCACGAACACGTCTGCCCATCTCGTCGGTGGTCTTCCTCGAAGACGTTTGGCTTCGCGAGGAATCCACTCAGATGTTCTCAGTGTCCATCTGTCGTCTGTTCTTCTCATGATGTAACCGGCCCATCGGTGTTTCGCTTTTGCAATGTATTCCGCTGGGTCACGAAGACGGGACTTCTTCTCATATCCGTACTGCGAATCCGACTAGATGTTGCTTTCGTCGGATCATCTTCAGAAAACTGCGCTCGAGCGCTTTGTGGGTGGTCCGTAAATCTTTCGACGTGGCTGCAGTGTCGGCCCAAGTCTCAGCTGCGTAACAGAGCGCCAGGAGAACGGTTGAGTCGAACAGGTGGGCACGAAGCTCTGGGTCCGTCAGTTGGTCGGTGGCTTCCTTCAGAGGATCGAAGGCGGCCCAGGCTGCTCTTCTTCTCCTGTTAAATTCTTCCCTTAAGTCGTTCTCCATTTTCATCGAACGTCCGAGATACACGTAAGTAGACGTCTCTATAATAGGGGTGCCTTCCAGTTCCATTTCTGCATCTTCGCAAAGGGCGTTCTTCATAAAGTGAGTCTTCTTCCGATTTGTTCGCAATAACATCTTCTTCCCTACTTCATTCAGTTCCCTCAACATCGTCTCTGCTTCAGTGATACTGCTCGAAAAGAGAACGATGTCGTCTTCAAAACGAAGCTAGGACAGGAATCTCCCATCAACTCGTATGCCTCTCTCGTCCCAGTCCAGTTATTTCATCACCCACTGCAAGGCCGCGGTGAACAGCTTCGGCAAATAGTGTCGCTTTGTCGAACCCCCTTTCCAATCGGAATGGTCAGGGGGCGATGGAATAGCTGCATCGTTGTTGCACAGTCCCTGTAGCAGTCGGCTAGTGTCCTCACGTAAGCTGGGTCCGCTCATGATCGACTAGTGCAGACAGGATGGCGTTCGTTTCGACGCTGTCAAAGGCTTTCTCGTAGTCGACGAAGGTTAGGACGAGAGGCAGTCGTTATTTATAGCAGATTTCTATGACCCTCGAAACCGTCTTGATGTGGTCCACGCAACTGAACCCCTTGCGGAATCCAGCTTGTTCTTGGGATTGAGCTTCATCCAGTGTCTAGATATACGAGCGAGGATAATCTTCGTGAAAAGTTTGTGGAGCACACTCACAAGGAAACG